TGAAATTTCAACACCGCAAGTTTCACCTTTTTTGCAGCAAAATTGCGCCCGTACCAGGCCGAACAATCTGATATTATACCAGGCACCAGTAATGAAAAAAGTCAATTAGAGATGTCGGAGTGAAATGACGTGGCCTATACCATTCGAAACCTCACGAAATGAAATTTCAACACCGCAAGTTTCACCTTTTTTGCAGCAAAATTGCGCCCGTACCAGGCCGAACAATCTGATATTATACTAGGCACCAGTAATGAAAAAAAGTCAATTAGAGATGTCGGAGTGAAATGACGTGGCCTATACCATTCGAAACCTCACGAAATGAAATTTCAACACCGCAAGTTTCACCTTTTTTGCAGCAAAATTGCGCCCGTACCAGGCCGAACAATCTGATATTATACTAGGCACCAGTAATGAAAAAAGTCAATTAGAGATGTCGGAGTGAAATGATGTGACCTATACCATTCGAAACCTCACGAAATGAAATTTCAACACCGCAAGCTTCACCTTTTTTGCAGCAAAATTGCGCCCGTACCAGGCCGAACAATCTGATATTATACTAGGCACCAGTAATGAAAAAAAGTCAATTAGAGATGTCGGAGTGAAATGATGTGACCTATACCATACGAAACCTCACGAAATGAAATTTCAACACCGCAAGTTTCACCTTTTTTGCAGCAAAATTGCGCCCGTACCAGGCCGAACAATCTGATATTATACTAGGCACCAGTAATGAAAAAAAGTCAATTAGAGATGTCGGAGTGAAATGATGTGACCTATACCATACGAAACCTCACGAAATGAAATTTCAACACCGCAAGTTTCACCTTTTTTGCAGCAAAATTGCGCCCGTACCAGGCCGAATAATCTGATATTATACAAGGCACCAGTAATGAAAAAAAGTCAATTAGAGATGTCGGAGTGAAATGATGTGACCTATACCATACGAAACCTCACGAAATGAAATTTTAACACCGCAAGTTTCACCTTTTTTGCAGCAAAATTGCGCCCGTACCAGGCCGAACAATCTGATATTATACTAGGCACCAGTAATGAAAAAAGTCAATTAGAGATGTCGGAGTGAAATGATGTGACCTATACCATACGAAACCTCACGAAATGAAATTTCAACACCGCAAGTTTCACCTTTTTTGCAGCAAAATTGCGCCCGTACCAGGCCGAACAATCTGATATTATACTAGGCACCAGTAATGAAAAAAAGTCAATTAGAGATTTCGGAGTGAAATGATGTGACCTATACCATACGAAACCTCACGAAATGAAATTTCAACACCGCAAGTTTCACCTTTTTTGCAGCAAAATTGCGCCCGTACCAGGCCGAATAATCTGATATTATACTAGGCACCAGTAATGAAAAAAAGTCAATTAGAGATTTCGGAGTGAAATGATGTGACCTATACCATACGAAACCTCACGAAATGAAATTTTAACACCGCAAGTTTCACCTTTTTTGCAGCAAAATTGCGCCCGTACCAGGCCGAACAATCTGATATTATACTAGGCACCAGTAATGAAAAAAAGTCAATTAGAGATGTCGGAGTGAAATGATGTGACCTATACCATACGAAACCTCACGAAATGAAATTTCAGCACCGCAAGCTCCACCTTTTTTGCAGCAAAATTGCGCCCGTACCAGGCCGAACAATCTGATATTATACCAGGCACCAGTAATGAAAAAGTCAATTAGAGACGTCGGAGTGAAATGACGTGGCCTATACCATTCGAAACCTCACGAAATGAAATTTCAACACCGCAAGTTTCACCTTTTTTGCAGCAAAATTGCGCCCGTACCAGGCCGAACAATCTGATATTATACTAGGCACCAGTAATGAAAAAAAGTCAATTAGAGATGTCGGAGTGAAATGACGTGGCCTATACCATTCGAAACCTCACGAAATGAAATTTCAACACCGCAAGTTCCACCTTTTTTGCAGCAAAATTGCGCCCGTACCAGGCCGAACAATCTGATATTATACTAGGCACCAGTAATGAAAAAAGTCAATTAGAGATGTCGGAGTGAAATGATGCGACCTATACCATTCGAAACCTCACGAAATGAAATTTCAACACCGCAAGCTTCACCTTTTTTGCAGCAAAATTGCGCCCGTACCAGGCCGAACAATCTGATATTATACTAGGCACCAGTAATGAAAAAAAGTCAATTAGAGATGTCGGAGTGAAATGATGTGACCTATACCATACGAAACCTCACGAAATGAAATTTCAGCACCGCAAGCTTCACCTTTTTTGCAGCAAAATTGCGCCCGTACCAGGCCGAACAATCTGATATTATACTAGGCACCAGTAATGAAAAAAAGTCAATTAGAGATTTCGGAGTGAAATGATGTGACCTATACCATACGAAACCTCACGAAATGAAATTTCAACACCGCAAGTTTCACCTTTTTTGCAGCAAAATTGCGCCCGTACCAGGCCGAATAATCTGATATTATACTAGGCACCAGTAATGAAAAAAAGTCAATTAGAGATTTCGGAGTGAAATGATGTGACCTATACCATACGAAACCTCACGAAATGAAATTTTAACACCGCAAGTTTCACCTTTTTTGCAGCAAAATTGCGCCCGTACCAGGCCGAACAATCTGATATTATACTAGGCACCAGTAATGAAAAAAAGTCAATTAGAGATGTCGGAGTGAAATGACGTGAACTATACCATTCGAAACCTCACGAAATGAAATTTTAACACCGCAAGTTTCAACTTTTTTGCAGCAAAATTGCGCCCGTACCAGGCCGAATAATCTGATATTATACTAGGCACCAGTAATGAAAAAAAGTCAATTAGAGATTTCGGAGTGAAATGATGTGACCTATACCATACGAAACCTCACGAAATGAAATTTTAACACCGCAAGTTTCACCTTTTTTGCAGCAAAATTGCGCCCGTACCAGGCCGAACAATCTGATATTATACTAGGCACCAGTAATGAAAAAAAGTCAATTAGAGATGTCGGAGTGAAATGATGTGACCTATACCATACGAAACCTCACGAAATGAAATTTTAACACCGCAAGTTTCACCTTTTTTGCAGCAAAATTGCGCCCGTACCAGGCCGAACAATCTGATATTATACTAGGCACCAGTAATGAAAAAAAGTCAATTAGAGGTCGGAGTGAAATGACGTGGCCTATACCATTGGAAACCTCACGAAATGAAATTTCAACACCGCAAGTTTCACCTTTTTTGCAGCAAAATTGCGCCCGTACCAGGCCGAACAATCTGATATTATACTAGGCACCAGTAATGAAAAAAAGTCAATTAGAGATGTCGGGGTGAAATGATGTGACCTATACCATACGAAACCTCACGAAATGAAATTTTAGCACCGCAAGTTTCACCTTTTTTTCAGCAAAATTGCGCCCGTACCAGGCCGAATAATCTGATATTATACTAGGCACCAGTAATGAAAAAAAGTCAATTAGAGATGTCGGGGTGAAATGATGTGACCTATACCATACGAAACCTCACGAAATGAAATTTTAACACCGCAAGTTTCACCTTTTTTGCAGCAAAATTGCGCCCGCACCAGGCCGAACAATCTGATATTATACTAGGCACCAGTAATGAAAAAAGTCAATTAGAGATGTCGGAGTGAAATGATGTGACCTATACCATACGAAACCTCACGAAATGAAATTTTAACACCGCAAGTTTCACCTTTTTTTCAGCAAAATTGCGCCCGCACCAGGCCGAACAATCTGATATTATACTAGGCACCAGTAATGAAAAAAAGTCAATTAGAGATGTCGAAGTGAAATGACGTGGCCTATACCATTCGAAACCTCACGAAATGAAATTTTAACACCGCAAGTTTCACCTTTTTTTCAGCAAAATTGCGCCCGCACCAGGCCGAACAATCTGATATTATACTAGGCACCAGTAATGAAAAAAGTCAATTAGAGATGTCGGAGTTAAATGATGTGACCTATACCATTCGAAACCTCACGAAATGAAATTTTAACACCGCAAGTTTCACCTTTTTTTCAGGGAAATTGCGCCCGCACCAGGCCGAACAATCTGATATTATACTAGGCACCAGTAATGAAAAAAGTCAATTAGAGATGTCGGAGTTAAATGATGTGACCTATACCATTCGAAACCTCACGAAATGAAATTTTAACACCGCAAGTTTCACCTTTTTTTCAGCAAAATTGCGCCCGCACCAGGCCGAACAATCTGATATTATACTAGGCACCAGTAATGAAAAAAAGTCAATTAGAGATGTCGAAGTGAAATGACGTGGCCTATACCATTCGAAACCTCACGAAATGAAATTTCAACACCGCAAGTTTCACCTTTTTTGCAGCAAAATTGCGCCCGTACCAGGCCGAACAATCTGATGTTATACTAGGCACCAGTAATGAAAAAAAGTCAATTAGAGATGTCGGAGTGAAATGACGTGACCTATACCATTCGAAGCCTCACGAAATGAACACCGCAAGTTTCACCTTTTTTGCAGCAAAATTGCGCCCGTTCCAGGCCGAACAATCTGATATTTTTCAAACTTCTGTGCGTCGGCGAAGACATTGTTCAACCTCGGCGGACGATTTTTCTTCGACTCCGGATGGTCAAAATTGGCTAAAGCCAAAGCGTATGATATTCCTGGTGGCATGGCGTCAAAATACGACTAATTACGTCTTTGGCCGGCTGGCAGATGAAAAAACGGCAATACGGCGGAGAAATCGGCGGAGAAAAAAATAAACTCATTTAATAAATTATGATGAGAAAGAAATTTTGAGCAACCAAAAATATGATTCATCTGATTGGCGGATGCTCGGCGGATAGTTTTCGTAATAGCTTTTTCCAGAATTCACTGAACACCCTGTAGAAGCGGCAAGATATTCAAGCTATGATTTTTCGAAAAGAATTATAGTCTGTCCTTCGTTATATTATAAATATTTGCCAAAATGGTCGAAAAGAAATACAAAATTCTTTTATCACTGTAAAAATTAATAAATATCTAGAAAATTCCGTATCCTGGAACTTCGACTTTGTATCTGGCCATTTCCTCGACATGTCCAATCATATAGGTCAATCTCTCTTTTCCATCGCCGATCGGCTTCTTGTAAATGCGTTCTCCATGATCCATAAACTCCTTATAAGGAACTTCCAAGGTGTGTTTCATCCCAGCATTCAACGCGTAAGCTTCGGTACCACTAGCGGTAAACAAACCATCAATATATTTGAATCCGGCTTCGACTCCAAGTTGAGCGTGTTTCTTGAAGAGGAAGGGGGTGAGTTGCTGTCTGTAAGCGAGGAAAATGGTTTGGTTAGAAGATGGCTTACTGTCTGTACTCTCTAATTACACCCAATTGGCCTTGTCGGTAGAGCTTGGTGGCGTCTTTTGGGATGAAATTACGAGTCATCAAGTCAAAATGATTCAACAAGGCGACCAAACGAGCTCCTTCGCGACTTTTGAAGGTCTTGTTGACTTCGTCGATTTCTGAAATTATCAAGACAGTACACTACGCCTTGCATAACGCGCCAAAAATTTTCCAAGACGCTCAATTCTTTAATTCTACTAACAGGGGAAGTACTCCAAGTGCGACGCTCATATTTTCGTTAAATTTTGCACACACGTCGGGTATGGACTGAATATCAATTCCTGAAAGTTTTAGTTCGCGCTTTGCGGGCGCCGCCGATATATCGAACGATTTTTTGCCGCCGAGAAAGCACGCTAAACGTGGAGAGCGGTCAGAGAGAAAAAGGCTTTTTGGCCATAACTTTGGCAGTCTCGTGCGGAAAAATTTGATTTTTTATAGAAACATTATTCTTTACGGTAGAAATAGGCATGAAACTTTTTGTGCGGAATTCGGCAAAAAGTTCTAAATTTTCGCCGACTTTCGATCTAAAAATTTCGGTTGTTTCTGCAAAGCGCGAGCTAGGATTCTCGCATATATCTTAGAAAAAATTATTCTAAATTTGTGCCAAGTTTCGTCAAAATCTGAGCGTCGCACTTGGAGTACTTCCCCTGTAAGTTTTTAGGATCGTTTCCCTACACTTACCAGGTCCGAGATCCTTTTTCGGTCTCCCAATTACGTTTCCATTCTTCTCCTCAATCACATCGATTTCCTCTTTCTCCTTCAAATCCTTCACATCCAGGGCTTTGTTGGCATAATATGCGATCGGCTTGTCCCCATCGAACGCTATGATACTGTAGGGATATTGGAGGTAATCCGCAAAAGCCTCTCGATAAGCATCCCCAACTTCTTCTCGGGGGTTGGCTGAAATCGGAATTTAATGAGAACTGCCGATAAATCACTAGTCTTTTGAAAAGAGATCCTATCACAACTAACCAAGCGCTCCACTGGTCGGCTCATCCGGTGCAAACGCGACCATTGCCAACTCGAACATGAGATCAGCGTCTTTGGGAGTGGCAACTTCCAATCTAACAGTCTTCCCTCCCATTTTGAACAAAGGAAAGGCCTTTTCCAGAACGCGGCGGCCGAGGCGTGGAAGCGAGAGCAACATTTTCTTCGGGGAACACAACCACAAATGCACAAAATCTTGGAAAATGAAAATAAAGTTCGCAAAATGAACTCAAAAAGTTTTTTGAAAAATCCATCCCATTTTTATTTGAATCACACGGTTTTTTATAACATTTTGAAGTAATAAGAACAACTTTAAATCTTGCAGAGTATGCAACACATTCTGCCAAAGCCGCAGTTACACAGATGTCTGCCGTTGAATGGTTGAACTCGATGAACTCGTCGATTCTTCGTCGTAATGTTTTATGATAACTGCAACCAAAGGATGATTCAATTCCACTCAATGACTTATCCGGTAAATCAATTTACCTGGTCTTTTAATTTCTCCGCCCGCTCTTCTCTCTTCTCTCGCCGCTGTCAGTTTTCTCAATCTCTCCAGACTGAAATTGCAATTGTCACTCTCCCCACACTCGGTCATATCTCCAATCCCGGCATGATAGTGGAGTTTCACAACCTGCGGGCGATACATTCCCCAACAATAGACAGGAAAAGTAACGAAAGCGGGCTTTCGAATTACGAATGAAGCATATGGACATAAAGGAGGAGGAAGACGAATCGTTTCGTAAGATTTTGAGTCATTGTGTTACTTTTCAAGATTTGGGAGAAAAAGAGTTAACTTTACAGAGATCAGCCTCGGAACACAATCACGTAAAATTTTGCTTCATCATTTATTTCTTAAAGTTCATATATTTAGAAAATTCCATATCCCTGCACATTGACTTCAGATCTGGCTGCTTTGTCGATATCTCCAATCAAGTAGCTCAATCGCTTTTTCCCCTGGCCGATCGGCTTGTCGTAGATGCGTTTCCAAGAATAATTTTTTCTAAGATATATGCGAGAATCCTAGCTCGCGCTTTGCAGAAACAACCGAGATTTTTAGATTGTCGGCGAAGATTTAGAACTTTTTGCCGAATTCCGCACAAAAAGTTTCATGCCTATTTCAACCGTAAAGGATAATGTTTCTACAAAAAATCAAATTTTTCCGCACAAAGTTATGGCCAAAAAGCGTTTTTCTCTCTGACCGCTCTCCACGTTTAGCGTTTTCTCTCTCCGCGGCAAAAAATCGTTCGATGTCTCGGCGGCGCCCGCAAAGCGCGAGCTGAAACTTTCAGGAATTAATATTTAGTCCATACCCGACGTGTGTGCAAATTTTAAAGAAAATCTGAGCGTCGCACTTGTAGTAATAATACTTCCCTTGTTAGTAGAATTAAAGAATTGAGCGCCTTGGAAAATTTTCGGCGTGCAAAATGAACTTTAAAAGTTTTTTGGAAAATCAATGTCATTTTTTTCACCATACATTTTACAGCTGTCTCCAAAACCTCCGCAGTCTAATCATGCTTTTGTTGTGATTTATTGATTTCATTAGTTTCAACAACAGCATCTATCATACTGTCGAACGACTTCAATATTGGATTTTATTTTCTCATAGCAGAGTCGTTAAAGCATAGGCAACAAGTGGATCTCCGTCATAAGGTAGAACAGAATACGGATGTTTAAGACTGTTTATTTAGCCATACGTATAAATGGTTTCAATTTGGTGCAATAATTCTTTGAGTAAGATATACGATTAGTTAATGATGAATTTCATAATAGAAATACTTTCGAAATATTAGATGTCATTGAAAAGCGTCTAAATGAGTATTTTTACAATTACTATATAACAAAAAAGCAGTATGTAAAAATGTTCTCAGCCTTCTTTCTGCACAACTACCGGCATTTCTCCGCTGCTGGCCGCTGAGATGGCTGTTTTGCTCTGCCGATTCATCGAGGTGGCTCCGGACGTTACAGGGTTCACATATTTGCTGCTGACACATCCGAGGAAGTAATTTCTGTAGGACGGCATCAAAATGAGGACTGATAAAGCATTTAGGGCGGGAGTGGAATGGACAAGTAGGAAGGACAACTCGCCAAGCAATTTGACCTCACTTCCAGTAATAGCGGCGGCTGGGAAGAGGAAACATGGGATGAGGACAACAAACAGAGGGTAGGCGGCCTGAAAAAAGCGATTTGTAAGTGATCAAGTAAAGTTCAAAATTTTAGCATGAGTTGTTAAAAGGTTTAATTGCAATGCAAAATGAGATGGCCGTAAAGTTACAATATTTTTTGCGCAATTATTTAGCTTTTTACTTCGATTTTTACTCACCTGTAAATACAGCACTTTTGTCATTTGTTTTTGGATCAGCTTTGTGCTCTCCGAATACTCCATGCCATCGACATTCCAGATCTTCTTTGTCAATCTGAGCACATACAAAATGACATTGTAAGCGCCTCCGGTGATAATAAACACTTCAGAGAAATGCAGCATCATCGAGATTTCCGTAGGATCTCCCACAATATACATGGGCAGATCAGACTTGTTTGCGATTCCCCAAACACCAGCCAAAACTTCGTCGTAGTAATCGCTTCTTGGATGATATACCAGAGGACAGGAAGAGGCATGACAGATAGCAGCGAAAAGACAAACCAATCCCATCAATGCCATTTGAACTTTCGTGAAGGGCTTGGAACGTAGAACACCGTAACGGTAGATGAATTGAAGTGGAAGAACAGCGACGGCCAGGAACATTGTGAGAAGTTGGGTGGCGACGGCAACGTAAACGATGTTCGGGCCGCGGGGAAGGTAGGGGTTGTCGACACTGATGAAAACGAGGTTCTTGGCGGCAGTGGCGGTCTGAAAAATGTATTCTTGTAATTTTAAGGCGTGATCTCTTTTATGGTGATCAGATCAAGATCTATGTTTGCATATAGACTTTAAATGTCTCAAGTTTTGGCAAACTGTTAAAATAGGCCATTAAATAATCCTAGAATGTGTTCTATATCTTGTGCTATGTCATCATGCGATTGATACTTGGTAAAATGAAAAACGTTTCTTTAATAACTAGTTTGGCTCTGGCCAAGAATTTTTTTGTAAAATTTTATCCACCATTTCTAATTATGGTTTATACGCATTGCAAAAAAGCAAAGAAATCAAACGTGAGTACTAACCAATTATAGAGCCAATTATTTACTAGTTCCAAGTATGATTGGAAACCAAGCGTCACGCTCGTAGTTAGTTTAACGCCTTGAGACTCCGTAATTCAGAATTTCCTCACGAATCTCCTTTCTTGTACTCTTATGCGAGTGCAATATTCTTTGGTCAATCCTATTTATAATTATCGAAAAAACTTTGTTATAATTATATGTATACATTAACCCTGTCTATTGTAAAATACCGAATATCGTTTTTACACAGTGATCTGTTTATTTCCTGGCAATTGCCTTAATGTTGCCCATGTGTGGTCAAACGCGACACGAACTTCCGGTATGCAATTCGTTGGTATTTTTGGGCCCAAGTATGTCAAAAAAAGATGTAAAGTTAAAATGTAAAGGTATTTATGTCGTGTTAAATGGTATATTTTGATGTAAAAATTTCTTTTTATAGTATGGTTAATAAAAAACTTACAGAAAGTGTAATCAGACAGTTGAGTGAGTAGATCAGATCAACGGCAGCCGTACTCATAATCATAATCTTGTACATCTTCATGGTCTTATTCCTGACCACCGTAGAAGTAAGTATGATAACTGCCGAGCAGAGGACAACGCCCATCACGCCGCCAACGATATCCACCGCACGGTGGATCGTTCGCATCGTCACCGGCATCTTGGCAAAGTGATGAAACTGACTTCAATTGGTTATATCTGCAATAAACAACGGTAGCTAAGAAAAGTCTCTTAAGAAAGGTCTGACGAAAAAACGCGACACAAAGCGTTGAGAATATTGCAGCATTTGGAAGCAGACGTTAATATATGTACTGTAAAAGGGGGAAAGACAAAAATCTGAACAATGTTAACGTGACAAAAGAATGGTTGTAAAACGCTGTAACAGCAATTGTTTTAAGGGTCTTTGAATATTGAGTGGGATATAATGAAAAAGGCAAGTATGGGTCATCATCACTATGCTCTCTCAAAAAAAGGTTGTGAAACATATACATAGTTTGTGTCTACAGAAGAGTTGAAGGCAGGCTAGGTATTTGGCTCAAAAGCTCGATCAGCTTTTGATTGTTGCCATTTTATCGCAGTCAGCGTAAACTGTGACTTGCTCCAACTCAAATAGAGGATATTCTCATATCAAATTGGACCGAATTCAAGTATTACTTTACGCCACCGTTGAATTGCTGAAATACCTCAAATCCCAAACATTCCGCCCATTGTAACAAACAAATGAGTAAAACTACACACGCCAGACAAATTCCACCGTTTATATACACGGTTCGGGTAAACTGGATCAAGTTCTTTGCGTGCTTATTCTAATTTTGACGGCATTTCGCGTTGTTGATTAAGAAATGGTATACCAAGTGTGTCTAATGTCATATGCGGTCGGAGCAGTGTCAACAAGGAAGCAAAGAATGCTAGTTAAACTTGACAGAAATGCGGGCACGAAGAGGCTATTTCTTGAAATTAATTTTGGTAAGCATCAAAAGATAGCAATGATCATGGAAATATCGTTCAAAAAACGGTAGTTTAAAGTGGTGTTCAACGCTCTTAGAATGGAGATCTGTGGCCACATTGGAAAACGCAACCATATACGTGGCACTTTTCGGATCCTAAATGGGCCATGTATATCTTGTGTGGACCTTGTTTTCAATCCCAACAAAATTTTTGACAAACCAATAGAAGACTAGAGGGCCAACATATTATTTGTCCGGTTGTCGCTCCTTATTTACTGTCTTTCCTAAATCCCGTAGAGAAATGCATCTTCACTTGCAAGCCGAAAGCCAAAAATTTCTGAAGTTTCTCTGCATTTACAACTGCTAGATATCCAAAAAAATCTAATCGTCCAGTAACAACAACCAAAAAATACGCGACAGGAAAATTGCCGTTAAAAATTTTAATTTAACCGGAGTTTAGTCCTATTTATATGTGTTGTACTCCATTCAGCCTCTTGAACAATAAAAAACACATTTAGACAGAACACAACATCTTTCCTGTCACCTTGCTTAATATCTCATTGTACTTGGCTATTGACAAAAAATGGACCGCCCAATCTTCGGAGCCATTTGGTTGTATACCTTTTGGTTTCTAAGAGGGTCTGTAAGTCAAATTGTACTACCACCCAAGAGCTGCTTCAACTGCGCAATGTAGGTCCTTATTTTAATAAATAGCCATGTATATATTAATAGACGCTATTTTTGGCATACTACGTTGGTTTCGTATGTTCTTGAATACTTGTTACGTTGTCCATGTCACAATCCTAACCGGTACCGCGACATTTACGAGACCCTTCCGTGACTAAATCACAAAAACTACTAACCCCCGCCGACTGATTCCGTGTGTAACATCAACAGGTACGCGAGGAATGAACCATTACAGCATGTACAAAAACATCGGCAAATGTAATCGTATACACATACAGTCTGTGGTCATGTGAACCTTAAACGCAATACATACAGGAATGACAAACAAATAAATTGAACTTTTACAATATGTAGTATTGTTCGATTACACTGTAACGGATTGTTTTGTAGTCTTGAAACTTTATGAATTTTTACACGATTAGGAGGACAGCGGAATGACAAAGATTTGTTTAACGAGCAACGTCAAAGGAAATGGTGCTGGACAACAATAACATTGATAAAAACAGATTTATATCCATCAACATATTCCTATTGCCTCACACAAGAAGAGAATGTAACATTTTACTCCAGAAATTCTACATATACTTCGTGTCTTCAACAATTCTTCGAGACCTTAAAAGTCGCCTGAAAATCTGATATACCAAATTCTATTATTAAACCCGAGCCTCAAGTGAACATTAGCACTGCTAAATAATTAATGAAAGTGGCCTAACTGGTTCACACGCACCGGTCGGTCGAAAAATCTTGACATGCATCGTGTTAAGATCGCATCTTCCCAATCTTTCCAAATGGCGACGATTGCATAGTGTTGAATGACCAAGCACCATGCAAGGCAAACTCACCAAAAAGATAAGTCAAGCTCACCAATCGACATCGTTGCACATATATAATAAATGTTGCACGACGTCTAAAAGAACCACAACGCATTCGCCCTTTTATCAAATATATTATCACCTGAATGTTGCATGTTCATAAGTGTGACTGCAAACGAACCAATCTGCTATCAAATGCGTTAGTCTCCGTTGTTTCGTATTCCAATTACGGGGTGTCGTTGCAGCCTTCAAATAATCCTACAAACACGCTCCCTTGAGTAATTTAATCGACAATTCAACAAGAGTCCGCGCTTTTTTCGTCTCATTTTATCCGGTGATTCGCTTTTTTGTCCTTTTATGGCCGTTACATACGGTGGGGAGGCCACAACGGTCATTAGAGATACATAGTTTTTAACGACTCTGGTTTATGCTCTGCATGCGTGACAATGTAATTAATTGCTAATTGTACTTAAATAGAAGTCAAAAAGTCGAAAGTAAAAAGTAATAATTTTAATTTTATTGATTTAATTCTTGTGTCATTTTACCGCGGCTAACAGTGCAATGGCACTACTACATTGAGCATCGTCTATAGTTTGTTAAATTTTGGAATTTTCGGACCACCCTACCACAAGTAGAGGCCCTAGATTTCGAAATTTGTAAAGCTCTGCACTCTTACATTGTACTGATTCCAATTTTTACAAACTTGAGAGAGCATGACAATTAAAGTTTTAAAAGCTTTTCAGACCTTTAAGTTTAATATTTAGATTGCGTTGACGTCCTTTTGCGGCTTTTTACATTGAATTCTTCTTCATTGGGAAACTTGAGTCCAAAACAAAGCCAGGAAGTGAAGAAAGTGCGGAGCAAGTGCTCAATTTGAACACAAGCTCTTCAAATTTTTACTGTGCAACCTTGGGAGTGCATTGTGAAGAAAGAGAAAACTATCAGTCCGTCGAGACAATAATGAGCAACTGTCGCATCGAATATCGCATCGTCGCCGAGAAAATGAATTGTGTCGCAGCAAACTCAATTTTTTGTTTGAGCGACGCAATCGGCACACATTTCAAATCACAACTTCCTTTTTCCGTTCTACCTTTGGGTTCCCATTTAACTTCAATGCTCACAGGTTGAACTGACGGCGTGGGTGTAAACATCCGATGACGCAAATGAAACTGCGGGGAAGTTCAAGATGTAACCATTTTTTTGGTATTTCCTGGGTTTCGTGCCTTAGACTACGTATAGCTGTATCTTACGTTACTAGTTAATTCGGGTTCCTTCGCCGAACCAAAGCAACGTTGCAAACACAACAAGTCAGATGTATTTTGTTGACGGAAAAGCGAGGAGGGTGGAAGGCTGTAGGAGGTTGCAAAAGCTGTAATATGATCCTATTTGTAATCAGCAATTGGAAAGGAAGAATGTTTGGGAAGAATAGAAGGCTGTCTGGGTGTAAACACAAATTGCTACGGGCTTGGGATGAACGGAGAGGAAGTTTCAGCGAAAAAACGCAAACAAAGCCAGAATAAGATTCAAAAATTCACTCTGAAATGGACGTTCTAACTGTTCATCGGGTCCAACTGACCTCTTCACACTTTATCTGCATAGTTTGTATTATACACCAAATTCGAGAAAGACTGCCTGTTTCTTTTTTAGTTCTCTCAAATGTTCAATTCTTTCTAAAGGAGACATTTCAATATGCCGGGGCAAATGAGCAATATTTTTTGGACAATCTTTGCGAATCAAAAAATGTACAGTGAAAACTGCCAAACACAGGACTACAAAGGTCTCACAAAACCCTCTATTAGAACGACTACGTACTTTACTCTGTTGCAGTTTGTTATACTGAGTTTTTCCACTTAGATATTCATCGCGCTTGGTTTTAGAAACGGATGCTTAATCCCGACTTGCAAATTGAAAGTCATATTGCGAATTGGAAATGTCTTTTCATTGCCGGTTAAGCCCATTGAGATGGCTTTTGTGTGACGTTTAATAACTCTTCTTTACTAAAGTTTATTTGTCATTATCTAGAGATGCTTACTCGGTTTTACTAACTTAAAGTCAATCATCGTTTTAGCAGCTCAATTCTCCTTTCAATCGGTCTGCAAAGCAATTAATTGTACTCAGCTCACTTCAACAAAGGCCAATGACAAAAAGAGAGACTGCAGAGAAGAACGCAGTAAGAAACTCGGGTATCACTGATAAATGGTTGTAAACAACTCCATTTTCAGGTTTTCATTTTGGGTTTCGGGTCGAATTGAACGAATTGGATATCAGTTTGAGAATTTCTTTGAAATTGAGTTGATTGAGTGCCCGCACAATGATGCAATTCGTCGAATCGAAGGGGTTCAACTTCCTGCTTTCCGGCGTAGGAGGATTTCCGAGAAAAGCCAAATGTGGAATCATAAGGTTGCTAAGTTAATGGTGACCTTGTAAGCTCGAAATTTATTTACGCTTCTAAGAATACGTTAAAACATTTGAGCCTTTGTAAAATATTACATTTGTTAACTGTTAAACAAACATTCCACCCTGATTTCACTTTTATTTCCTCATTCCCAACCTTCACGGAGACTCAGAGTTCAAGAAAACACTTCATTAAACTGCCTCACTAATTCACTAACTTAAGCCATTTCTGTGGTGCGTTTCGAGTTTGCGCGTTCTCAAAAACATAACATTCCATCGGAGAGAATGTCCAAATACGACAACAAGGC